GGGGAGAGGAGGGGGTCAGTCCCCGCAGAAGAGAGTCCCGCACCTCGTGGGGAAGGTGGGGGGGCTGAGAAGAGAGGAGCTGGCCGGGGCTCCAAACGCCGTCGCCCGAGCCCTGCCCGCCTCCCTTTACCTTCTTTCTCGGCCCGGGCCGCGTTCAGGACCAGCGTGATCAGCAGCCGCAGCGCCGCTCCGAGCCAGGGACTGTCCGCCTCGGGAAGGGGAGACCCGGAGGACCGGGAAGCCGCTTCCCGCTTCGGCACCGCCGTTGCCGCCATCGCGCCGCCGCTACCGCCTCGAGAGAGAGAGAGCGAGAGAGAGAGCCGTGTGAGGAGGATCCCGTATCCGCCTGCGTGGGCCCTGCTTGGCCCGAAGGGTGCGCGAAGCGGTTCTCCGGCCGCGCCGCGTCTCGCCTCTTCTCCCCTCCCTTCTCCGGGCGCGCGCTGGCTTCGGCCGAGGCAGGAGGGCCGGCGCTTGGCGCGCGCACATCACGCACTCCCCACCCCTCCCTCGCGCACAAAGGGGGGAGGGAGGACCAGCGACTCTCCTCCCCCTTCTCCCTCTCCTCCTCCTCCTCCCACTTCCCCAGCCAACAGAGACAGCGAGTGGAAACGACCGCCATCTTTTGTAAGGGCAAAAGAGGAGCCATGTTTTCAGTACGAGGAGCGGTCTGAGTTCCATAATCTCGCTTTCTCCGGTCATAGAAATCAAAACCCTTTTCGGAAGTTGTGCCAGTATTGGACAGGCTAGGTATTTTTTAAATGGGCCAGGCGTTAAGAGAGGCCCCGCTTTTTTTTTTTTTAGGTGGCGACGCTCTAGCCCGCTATGTCAACACGCTCTTCGACCGCTCTACCCCTTGAACTCGTTTTTCTGTGGAAGGAGGAGACGGGCAGGTCTTGGCCTCAAACGAGGAAGAGGGTGGTTTGTTTTTGTTTACGGGCAAACCTTTTCTCTTGATGTTTGGAAGGCCGTATTGGACAGCAAGAGTGAAATTAAACAGAAATTAATTACAAATACGATAACATTGCTATGACATATACCTTTGATCTGCTTGTGTACTGTTTCCACAGACCACCACGACCCTCTCTCGAAGCACCCGTGACGGAAATAGAATTCATCGCCAGAGGACTGCAATCCTGGTTTTCAGTGAGAACAGTCTGGGTTATGTGGTTATGTCCGCCATTGCAATCATTCATTAAATAACATAAGTACTTTACAGTGTGCTATACAGCGTCTTTATTCAAGTGGCTCAAGTGGTTAAGACGCTGAACTGCAGGCTGTGGAAGGTCAGTAGTTCGAGATCTGGGTGCTGCATGATGGGGTGAGCACCCATCTCTAGTTCCAGCTCCTGCCAACCTAGCAGTTCGAAAGCAAGACATTGCAAGTAGATAAATAGGTACCACTTCGGTGGGAAGGTAACAGCGTTCCGTGCGCCTTGGTGTTTAGTTATGCCGGCCACATGACCACGGAAGCGTCTTCGGACAGCGCTGGCTCTTTGGCTTTGAAACGGAGATGAGCACCGCAACCCTAGAGTTGGATTCGACTGGGTTTCGAGCAAGGGAACCTTTACCTTTTATACAGCATCTTTATTCAGAAGGTTTTCGCTGTGTTCAATAGGATTTGCTCCCAGACAAGGGTGTACAAGATTGCAGCAGTAATGGCAGCTGGAATGCCAAGCAATACAGCAAATTTCACAATTATTTTGGAATCTATTTCGCACTACAGTACAAACATTGCACAGCATATAACACAGTAACTATGTATTGCCTCGATTGGTGCAAGATCATTTATTGACTTCATTTAAACTCTGCCTTTTTCTCCATTGGGACCAAAGGGAACTCAAGTAATTCTCTTCCATGTTCACCCTTAGGGTGTAGTTGGGTTTTTTTAAATAATAGTTTTGGAAATAAGTTTGCAGGCCAGACAAGGGGGGAAATGCCCTGTCCTTTTAATGAGCGGAAATGGGCAGTTGAAGCTTGTCATGGCATGAAGTTAAATAATGTCATGTGGTAACTGACTGCAGAGCAAGGGACAGCTAGAGAGACTAGTTTAAAAGCTGACAACCCCTGTTACTGAAACAAGCCTGTGATAATTAGAACAAAAGATCAGAGTCATGGTCTATTGTCCTGGAGAGGTTTTTCTCCATTTCAAATCTTGGAACAAAATTTGAATTTTGTAATCTGTACCTATGCTGGATAGGGACACTTCCCTTCACGCAGGCACTGGGGAGTCAACCTTTTCTTGTTTACAGACAGCCTGCTAACCTAAAACAACTTCTCACTTGCAATGATAAACTACTTAACAGTAACATGGACACTGGTACCAAGGCCTGCAACAAAGCAAGATGCCAACTTTGCTCTCATATAGATCCTAGCAACACCATCAGTGGACGGAGCAACATCAGCCATACCATCTCAGGTTCATACTCCTGCTCATCCTCTAATGTGATTTAGGCCATCACGTGTCACTAATGCCCTTCCACCCTCTACATTGGACAAACAGAACAGTCCCTTCACAAAGAATTAATGGACATAAGTCTGACATCAGAAACCACAACATTCAAAAAATTGGGGGGGGGGGGGCATTTTAACCTTCCAGGACATTCAGTTGCTGACCTAAAACTAGCAGTTTTCTTACAAAGGAATTTCAAAGGGAGATTAGAAAGAATGCTGAATTTGCAACTAACAAAGCTTAAGACAATGCACCCTCCTGGGCTGAATTTAGATTTAGGTTTCCTGACTTATTACCATTGCTGATTTCTCCAGCCTACTACCTCTCTGCATATCACACCTAATCCAATCAAGCCTGCTAATGTCATTTGGCATCTGAAATCACTCCTCTTTTAAAAGGGCAGGACATTTTTTTCTCCAGGTGGTTGTCAACCCCAGCCCTCCCCCATGTCATGTGTCTGTTTCCATGTGCATCTCCCCTGGACATTTTTCTGGCTCTCTCTTCAATTGTACTTGGATTGGGTTGCTTGTGTTTCCACGTGGCCTTGGCCAGCAGCACCCGAAGCCAGCTCCCAGTTTATGGTAGGTCCGTAGATTATAAACTGCATAAATACTTGCAAACTACCCTGGACAGCTTCCCCACACAGAATATAAGGATTGGTAATATCCTCTGCTTTTCTTGCTACATCCTCTCCATCTCTCTTCAAAATTCTCCCTTGACATACATGGCGCACGTGTGAGTGTGTAGAAGAGAGAGAGAGAACATGAAGGAATATCTAGTACGCGGTGGCCAAACTGTGGCTCGGGAGCTGCATGCGGCTCTTTCACACATACTGTGCGGCTCCCAGCAGGGCAGCTGGGGAAGCTAAATATCATTAGCAAACAAATATCATTAGACAAATAAATATCATCAATGTCTGCTTTTATCGCTTTTGTTATTATTTTTGGCAATCTCATTTAATGTTAATAAAAAGCAGATTTACCGTAAAAATGTTTAATATTTGTTCATGTCTTGCAGCTCTCAATCATCTGACGTTTATTCTATGTGGATCTGACATCAAGCAAGTTTGGCCACCCCTGCTCTAGTATCTCCTGGGGGTAGGGTTGCTAACAACCTGGGCAGAAAAATGTCCTGCCCGCTTAATAGAGAGAGTCAGTTTTGTGTAGTGGTTAAGAGTGCAGATTCTAATCTGGGAGAACCAGGCTTGATTCCCGCTAAGCTGAGTTAGTGTGAGCTAGCTCACAGTTTTTTAGCCTCCGGCTCACACATTTTTGTCTTAGCTCAGGAAGGATGGCTCCAGAGCAAACTAGTTTATGCAGTAGCCAAATCACTTGCTCACAACTTTAATGCCAGTAGCTCACAAAGTAGAATTGTTACTCACAAGACTCAACAGTTTAGAGGGAGCATTGCTCCCCACTTCTCCACATGCAGCTGCTGGTGTGACCTTGGGTTAGTCATAAGTTCTTTCCAAGCTGCTCTCGAAAGAGCAGTTCTCGAAAGGGCTCTCTCAGCCCCACCTACCTCACAGCATGTCTGTTGTGGGGAGGGGAAGGGAAAGGGATTATAAACCACTCTGAGACTGCTTTGGGTAGTGAAGGATGGGGTATAAATCCAATCTCATGGAGCCAGTTTGGTGTAGTGGTTAAGTGTGCGGACTCTAATCTATGAGAACCGGGTTTGATTCCCCACTCCTCCAATTGTACCTGCTTGATGACCTTGGGCAAGTCGTAGTTCTGATAGCTGTTCTTGAAAAAGAGCAGTTTCTGTCAAGAGCTCTCTCAGTCTCACCTACTTCACAGGGTGTCTGTTGTGGGGAGGGGAAGGGAAAGGCGTTTGTAAGCCACTCTGAGACACCTTTGGGTTGTGAAGGGCAGGGTATAAATCCAATCTCTTCTTCTTCTCTTCTTCTCTCTTAATTATACGTTTTTCTCTCCACAAATTTCAGGGAGGTAAATGACCGCCACACTCATCCAGAAAAAGTTAGAACAAGTCCCACTGATTTGGGACATGTCAGTCGCAAGTATAATTTCAAAAGTGTCTCTAAATTTCACAGGATCCAAAACTCGGTGTTGGTCTGCTGTTCTCTGAAGTACCTTGGGAAAATTAAGAATAATTTTGCTGAAATGTTTAGCATTTCAAATTCTGCCTCATTAATCAGCATTGCCATTGCAATCAACATTTCAGTTTAGTTCTTGTTTAACTTACTTCTTTTGCAATGGTTCTCCAAAGACAACCATATTTCATGTTGGGAACCTGAGAGGCTGTGAGACTATGACCTTGGTGAGCTAAAATTTGTTCTAATTTAAACAACAAGGCTGCATCTCTTTGAATACACATTTATTTTGTTTCTCCACCAGGGGAATTTCCATTTCATTATTTGGAGTGAATCTTTTGGTTGCACATTTTTTAAATGAAGAGATTGCTACACCAGTGGTTTACAAAACTATTTAAGCCCTGGAACTGCTTTCATGGAAGCAGTACCTGCCTTAGTTCAGTAATTACACATGCAAATTTTGAGACATTTTAAAAAACTAAACACATGTGCACAACCCTAAAAGCTGAAAATTTGGCTGGTTGACTCATGTCAGATGAAATCTAGCCTTTCCCCTCAGTACTCTTGGCCAATGATGTTCCCTTCACATCAGCAGCACTGCATAGATGAGGCCACCCGATGATTCCCTAAGAAGTCTATTTTTCAGTAGATTGTATTGGTGCACAATCAAAATCAGAGGCACTTTTCTATTTTTATTAACTCAAGAAGGCCAAATAACTGTTAACTTTTTTGTTGCAGTTGAAACAACTTATTTTTTAAAAACCCATTCTGTTATTTCTCTTTTTCTTTTGGCGCTCGACTACACATGCTCTTTCCAGTCTCTGCAAACCTCCTTCCCCCATCTACTCTTTAGTGCCCTCTCTCTGCACCCTGGAGCACATACTCTTCTCTCTCCTCCTCTGTCCCCGGCAC